GATAGATATAGATAGATAGATAGAGAGATATAGAGATATAGATAGATAGATATAGATAGATAGAATAGATAGATAGATATAGATAGATAGATAGATAGATATAGAAGATATATGTATGGATAGATAGATAGAGAGATAGATATAGATAGATAGATAGATAGATAGATAGATAGATATAAGATAGAGATAGATATTATAGTATAGAGAGATAGATAGATAATATATATAGATAGATAGATAGATAGATAGATATAGATAGATATATGTATAGATAGATAGAGATAGATAGATAGATATAGATAGAGACAGATAGATATAGATAGATAGATAGATGATAGAGATAGATAGATAGATAGATAGATAGATAGAGATAGAGATAGATAGATATAGATAGATATAGATAGATAGCTATAGAGATAGATAGATAGCTATAGATATATATAGATATAGAATAGACAGATGTAGACAGAGATAGATAGATAGATAGCTATATAGATAGATAGATAGCTATACGGAGGGACAGACAGACAGACAGAGACAGACAGACAGACAGACAGACAGACAGACAGACAGACACAAACAAACAAACAAACAAACAAACAAACAATCAAACAGACAGAGACAGACAGGCAGATAGATATACACATACATACATACATACAAGTAGCTGCGTAGCACCTAGCTACGCCAGGTTGTTTGGGACTGCGGCGCTTGCTCGCTTCGCGCCCTTAGGTCTTCGCCCTTATGTAACACAATATTATCAAATGTGAAATAAAAGAGGTTGGTTATACAAATATTGGTTTATCTATCCATGAGAATACAGAAGATTTTTGTTTTTTAGACGGTTCGCTTCCATAAGATCTCTCGGTACCTTTAAAAGGGTGTCCTCAAAACAGTGTTTTATTTAACATTTTGAAAACACACAAACACACCCCTGAAGTTATACAACGTGCCCACCATAACCACACCTAGATCTGCGGCGGCAATGAAGAGAGCATCATGGCGATTATTATTTTTTTTTTTTTTTTTTTTTTTTGTCTCCTCTTTCTAGGTATATTCTTTTACATTTAATACTATTATTTGATTCTTAAAAAAGTGGCTTTTATTTAAAAGCACAAAGATTTAATTAATAAATGTCTGTTGGAATCCGCCGTTGGCTCTGCTCCGATAACATCGCTGCCACCTGCTGCGACCTCCCCCCATAGTTGTGGTATGAGGCGCAACTCCTCCACCTCCAGCAGCAGCACAACTGCCTTCAAGAATCAATATAGACGCTCCACGTCTTCTTACAAAAGGCCGCCTTGATGATCGGCACCGTCGCTCTCGCCGTCATTGCACTGCTGATTATCCACCGCACCTTGGCCATGTTTTCTAGAAGAAAGCAAAAGGTCTATTAAACACAAGATACAGTAAAACAGCATTGCCCTGACAAAGAATGAAAAGACACATTCAGAAAACCAGGACATTCCCCTGAAAGTCACTCAAGAGGAGGCTGAGGAGGATCCCCTGAAAGTCACTCAAGAGGAGACTGAGGAGGATCCCCGGGAAGTCACTCAAGAGGAGGCCAAGGAGGATCCCTTGGAAGTCACTCAAGAGGCTAAGAAGGAGACCCCGGAAGTCACCCAAGAGGCCAAGAAGGAGACCCAGGAAGTCACCCAAGAGGCCGAGAAGGAGACCCAGGAGGAAGTCACCCATGAGGCCAATAAGGAGACCCGGGAGGAAGTCACTCAAGAGGCCGAGTAGGAGACCCGGGTGGAAGTCACCCAAGAGGCCGAGAAGGAGACCCAGGAAGTCACCCAAGAAGCCGAGAAGGAGACCCAGGAGGAAGTCACCCAAGAGGCCGAGAAGGAGACCCAGGAGGAAGGTACCCAAGAGGCCAAGAAGGAGACCCAGGAGGAAGTCACCCAAAAGCCCAAGGATCCCCGCAAAGTCACCCAAGAGCCCAAGAAGGAGACCCAGGAAGTCGCCCAGGAGGAAAAAGAAAAAAAAATAAAGAATAAATAAAAATAAACACAAGAGAAGGAAGACATCTAAAAAGGATTAACAATCCTTCTTGCTTCAAGACCCTTCTTCGTGGACCGCTTGGGACTACTTAAAAGACTGCGCCAAAAGGAAACGGTTGCACCTCTCCCTCCCCCTCCCTCTCCTTCTCCCTCTCTCTTCCTTTTTCCCTCTCCCTCCCTCCTTACACCCTGTCTTACGGTGTAGAATCAGTCCTCAGGGGAAGTGATACACGAGGCTGCTGTACCAGTTTATTCAACCTGTAAAGTTTTCAAACTTGTAAGTAGCCATAAAAAAAAAGGAATATTCCCAAAGACACACAAGTACCGTAATTGCAATGCTGACACACACGAAACACAGCCAAATCAAAGAGATTGTAAAAGACTGTAGAAAATATCCCATTGATCATGAACTTTGTAAGACATTTTTACTGTTTATAATGAATTACACATAAACTATGACAATGGATTTAAAGACATGATCAGGAAACTTTTTCTGAGATTACAAGATTCATCTCATATACATGAAGGAACAAAATTACTTGACCTGCCAAATATCAAATTATTTGGACACAAAGAAGAGCCTAGGCTAAAGTCAGAACCTGGCTTGATGCCAATTGAGCGACTATTCATTAAATTGGCTATTTCAAATAATGCAGACTGAAGTTTTCCATAGGAAAGTATTCTGTTACCTACTGATAAAACAATGGCTCTCTTCACCAATCTGATCAAAGATTCACTGCATCCATTTTCTCAAGGTGCCTCTGCTGACTTATCAAAATGCCACAACATTCCCTCTATAGAGGCAAAGTCTAAAATGTGAGCCATGTTCCAATTCTTTACCATAGCTCTATGCTCCTTGTTGGCCACCATTAATTGTGCTCCTCTATCTGAGCATACAGATTTAGGAAAACCACAAACAGAGACAAATCTCTGGAGAACCATTAAAAATCTCTATATCATAGCCTTCAGCAAGATCTAAATACACAGCTCTGCTGACTAAACAATTAAGCACAACAACATATACCTTCTCTTGAGTTCTATACATCACAGTATCCTTTATGATGAAGGGTTTGAATAGGTTACCTGCCTTACTGAAAAAAGGGGGAGCAGGAGAATGCCTTGCTTCAGGTAACTCTCCCATACACTGAGACATGAACGCTCTATTGACCCTTTTACAAAGCAGACATTTCGCTCTGTTCGATTTTATCAATTTCTAAGCAGAGGGAACCCAGTATTTGGATTGCAGTTTACCTTATGTAGATTCAATCCCTGAATGATTGATAGGGAATGGTTAAATATTTCATTAGTACTAATTTATTTTTTGCTGTTATAAATTTACTTTGAAAGGACCCATTCTCTAACTCCCAATCAACGTAAGTACAACACCCCATTGCATTTATAATGGCATCTGAAAAATGAATCAGTGAAGGTGTTTCTTAATTGCATTTTGTGGCTTTATGCATCTACAAAAAATTATGAATTCAAGATTGTACACTGACTTGAATAAATCTCTCCATTGTTTATATGACTTCTGCAATCGGTCCATCCCAGCCAATTTTCCTCTTTTCATCACTCTTGGTTGTGATGAATTCTCATTAGAATTTTTGCCTTCAAATTAAATGGAATTATCAAGCCTAATGGGTCAAAAATTATGGCAACTTAGTATCATTCGCCTGGTTAAAAAATCTGGAAACAGTGTCTAGTGTTCTATATCTGACCAGAATATATCTTTCCTCGTTCTTAAACCTTGATTCTTTTTGGGAAAGTTCAATTGAAACTTGTCACAATAAGTATCACTAACAGGATCCCAGTTTAGACTTAAAACCCTTTCATTTACAGAATCAATGTTGTCCTGAACCTGACAACCTTTGGTTTCTCCAGAAATTATCCAATGTTTGATTTCAAAGCCACCTTCCTTGATTATCTCTCCAGTTTCTTTGATAAAATTCTGACCTTCCTGTACTGAAGGACTACTAATCAATAAATCCACATAGGAATTTCTTACAATTTTGTTTCCAGTATCCACACATTTGCCTTTCAGCCTAGTAGTTTCATGCAGAGCGAGAATAGTAAAGGCTCCACTTGGCTTGTCACCAAAAGTTATTTGTGTCAACATACAAATATGAGGCTTTTTTGTAACATCCATATCATACCACAAAAACCCATGTATATTTTGATCTATCTTTGGAATGTGTACATTTTCTAAATGACTTTAGTAACTGCTATTCTATGCTGTCGAAATCTTAGTAGAATCCCAAATATACTTGATAAAACATCTGGACCCTTTGCGAGACAATCATTCAAGGATAGGCCCAAGTACTTGGCAGAGCTATTAAATACTATGCAAAGAGGAGTTGACCGACTTTCTGGTTTGTGCATCTCATGGTGTGGTAAGGAGAATATTGGTCCCGAATATTTTTTTTTAACTCATCCGTGGATAATTGATAAGCAACACCACGAGTTACCATATCTTTCATCTGATTACAAAAGGCATCTGCATATTTAAGTACTGATTTAACAAATCAGGATTCTGTGGACTTGAGACGAGCAAGTGCAAGATAATAATTATTACTCAAGTTATCAGGATATGAGATCCAAGGATATATCACTGTAAATCGCTTTTACATTTGATCATGTTTCATTACTTCTTTAATGAGCTTCATTTCTCTTTCCTCCCAAATTGTACGTTCACCAGAAAATGAACACTTCCCGAACATGCACTCTCCAAATTGTGAAATACACTGAATTCTGACAGCAACTAACCAGAGAAAATTATCAAAGTCCCTTTCCATCTTTAGAGCATAATGAAGCATATATTTGTACCCTTTAGAGTTCTACATTTTCTAAATAACTCATTTTCCCAAATATTATCTTTGCTATCAGTATTTCCCATGATTTCCTCAGTCTTAATTTCCATGTCACTAACAACTGTGGCTATCTCATCATACAAAGATTGTAAAACTTAAGTGTCAGTTTTCCTTTAAGTGTTCCACATGCCTTGATTAGCTCCTCCATCTTGAAATGTAACGTGTTGAATTGTATCATCAAGTGTCTTGGGGTGTAGAATCAGTCCTCATGGGAAGTGATATACGAGGCTGCTGTACCAGTTTATTCAACCTGTAAAGTTTGTAAATTATATGTAGCCATAAAAAAAAAAGAATATTTCCAAAGAACACAAGTAACATAATTGCAATGCCGACCCACACATGAAACACAGCCAAATCAAAGAGACTGAAGAAGAGAACGTGGACTTGAGATGAGCAAGTGCAAGATATTAATTATTACTCAAGTTATAAGGATAAGAGATCCATGGATACATCACTGTAAATCACTTTTGTATTGGATCATGGCTCATTCCTTCCTTAATGAGCTTCAATTCTCTTTCCTCCCTAATGTCTATGTAGTTTATTACCTTCCGCTCCTATATTAGAAATTCAACTAACTTGGGAAATACTGGGATTCTAAGATCAAGTTTCTGACAAGCAAGTGCCCATTCCCTTTTAATATTAGTAGGTAATAATCTTTCAACAGTGCTGACACTGGTGACATTGTTTAGCTCCTATCTAACTTCAGCTTACACAAAACTAGCCATGCACACTCAATACAAATGATCATATCAACAAATCCCTTACTGGATGAATCAGCTATAGGTTTCATCACTTTAATTTCGTGACGGATAGTCAACTATTCTCGAGGGATTTCCAAATCCCTCATCCACACATTCAATTATTTTCTGAAAATCATCTTCTCCACCTTTAATAACACTGAGTGCTTCTCCACTCAAACTCTGTCTGAGAACATAAACATCCATGCCATAACTTGGGATCATTAGTCTATAATAGTCAGACCTAGAAGTCTGGTACTCTCTCACCTTGCCTGGAAATTTTGGTGACTCTAACATTTGACATTCACTCTGGCAACCAATTCTTCTGAAGCATTAATATTTGCAGATGATTCCTCTTTCTTAAAACAAAGCATATATTTGTACCCTTTGAAATTCTACATTTTCTAAATAACTAATTTTCCCAAATATTATCTTTGCTATCAGCATTTCCCAATTTTAAAACTTACATGTCAGTTTTCCTTTAAGTGTTCCACATACCTTGATTAGCTCCTCCATCTTGAAATGCAAGGTGTTGAATTGTATCATCAAGTGTCTTGGGGTGTAGAATCAGTCCTCAAGGGAAGTAATACACGAGGCTGCTGTACCAGTTTATTCAACCTGTAAAGTTTTGAAAATTATTAGTAGCCATAAAAAAAAAAATATTCCCAAAGACCCAAAGACACACAAGTAATGCAATTGCAATGCTGACCCACATATGAAACAGCCAAATTAAGGAGACTGAAGAAGAGAACATGGAAGATACCCCAATGATCATAAACTTTGCAAGACATTTCTACTGTTTATAATGAATTACACATAAAACATGGCAATGGATCTAAAGAAATAGTCAGGAAATTTAGTAAACAACTTAATAAACAAAGGTTTGCATGACCATCATTGTTATCATTATCCACAATATGCTATTGAATTATATCATAAACTCACACCTTCACGCATCCCCAGCTGACATTGCCACAGACTCATGGGTAGATAATTGCCACAATTCAACCTAAAATACATGCATAATTAATATTCAAGTCCCCTTTTCTGTGTTAATATAAGATACGCCTCATTTAAAGGATTCACAGTACCATATGACAAATGTGTGCCTTTGAAATTATAATATCAATAAGTAAGTAGCACAGCTGATCTTGTATTTCATGGACCAAGGGGTTGGTAGGGTGAATGGATTTTATGACTGATATTGAGTAGTGTGAGTCAGTGAAGATGAAGGATGAGGAAGAGATAGAAGACATACATTGTAGGGCAAAGAGCATAGCATATAGTTCTGTTGTAAGGACACTCAATCCAAGTGGTAGAGGAAAGCTGTATGTGTGAGAGGGAAAGACTACGGCGAAACCAGCACCTGAGGTGTTATTTAGAGCCATCGGTGTAGGTATGAGTACTGGAGGAGTGACTAGAGATATGTGCAAGAAAATATGTGAGGAGGATAGAAGGTGGAATATTTGACTTTGGTAAGTCAGGGAATATAGAAGAGCAATTACAAGAGGTAGGTATTAGCCAGGGAGGGAAAGTTTGGGCTGAAAGAGGAAGAGTTCGGAGATGTGGAAAGGATGAATGGGAAAGAAGAGCGCCCATACAAACAGAGAAAGGGACAGGTAAACGTAGAGAAGAAGATAAGATTTGAAGAAGGGGTTGAGGGACAGTTAGCTTGGAGAGAGAAAATTGGTGAAAGCATGCATAGCTTCTTAGAGACAGAATAACACGACATCTAAATGGATGGTAGTCCTAATTCTGCATATAGGCTCTCAACTGGAGAGGATTGGAAGGCTCCTAGGGTTAAGCAGAGACTGCAATGGTGTATTGGATTAAGGTGAGAGAGAAGAGAGGCAGAGGCAGAAGAATACATATGGCAGCTATTATCAAGGGTGGAGAGGATTAGGGTAATGTGGAGATGGAGGAGTGTTTTGCAGTTTGATCCCCCAGATAGGTGGGAGAGGGTTTGTAGGAGTCAAAGGTTCAAAGGCGATGGCGGGCTTTTTCTTTAACGGAGAGGATATGATCTCGCCAAGAGAGCTTGTAGTCAGAAACAACTCCAAGAAACTTGCCAGAAGATAGGGATTGGATAGGGGTATCATAAAGGAGGAGTGGAAGTTGGGAGCCTATATGTGAATGAGAGAAAAGGATGGAGAAAGTTTTAGAGGTAGAGAAATGAAAGCAATGGTTGGTAGCCTAAGAAGAGATTAATGTTATTGACAACTTGAAGAGGGTCAGAGATGAGGTTATCATGAATATGGAGGACAGGGGCAGGATGAGGAGGATGTTTTCGGGATAATTTATGAATCCACTGCCAGAGATTGGTTTGGAGGATGTTATGGAGGATACATAGTTTTGCCAGCTGTTTGTCATGGAGTTGCATATTGTACAGCAAAGGTGGGCTGATGCTTTTTTAAAAGATATGACAGCTGTTAGTTGACTGGGGGTGCCTCTCTTGTAACGGTAGCTATTCCAAGCTGCGCGCTCCAAACACAACACTTTTGTATATTCAAGGTTCCATAATAGAACATATTTTGAAGTGTAAGGTCAGGAGGTTTGAGGGATGGTTACATAGCCTACATTTAGTACATTAGTATTTCTCAGCATTTCTGAGGTGGAAGAGAATGATGATGGAGGAAGGTTAAGAGTAGAGAGAAAGGTAACGGTATTCCATTCTGCTCCATCAAAGCACCAGCAAGGGGGGTTGGGGAGTGGGACATAGGATGTTGAAGAAAGAATTGGAAAGTGATCACTAGAGTGAAAATTGTTTAGGACAGACCAATGGAAGCCTATAAGAAGGGTAGGAGATCAAAGGGAGAGATCGAGGCATGAAAACAGTTGGTTGCATATGTCAGAGTGGGACTGTTGGAATTTAGGAGGATAAGGTCAGTTTTAAATAGAAATTGTTCTAAAGAGTGACCCTTGGTATCAATAATAGAGTCAACCCAGAGGGTATGGCGACAGTTAAAGTCTCCAACTATTAGGAGTGTTGGTTGGAGTTGGGAAAGTAAGGTCTCAAATTCTAAAAAGTCACTAAGGAGAGAAGGAGAGAAGTAGACTGAAATGACTGTGATCCAGCGGCAGAGGAAAATCAGGATAACTGTGCAAGGTATAGTGCTTTGTAAAGGAGGTATGTTATATGGTGTTTTATGATGGACAAGTATGGAAGAGACAAATACATAATGAGGGAGTGACACAAAATGGTAGTTGGAAATTGGTATTGAAGGATGTGTGAGGAAGGTTTCTTGGAGGCAGACGATAGATGTATTGTAAGAGGAGAATGAAGGTCAGGTCTGTGTGAGTGAAAGCCTCTAATGTTCCATTGCAGAAGAGCCATTATAGATCATTCAACAGGTATTATGGCTAGAAATGGATGTCTAAAAAGTAAGAGGAGGGGTGTCTGGGGGTTGAGGTATGGGATCAGGGGATGGAAGTGACAGTATAGTATCAAGAGAATCATCATGGGAGGAGGGATCAGGGGAAGAAGGTGAAGGTATAGTATCTTGGGGGTTCATCAAGAAAGGTGGGATCTGGGGAAGAGCATTGTGATAGGAGGGATTCACGTGTGTAACAAGGATGCTAGGGATAGTAGGGAAGGAAGGATTTTTGGTTTGGATAAGGGTGGGGGAGTGGATAGGGTGTGATGGGAGGGTGTAGGAGGAAGAGGGGTAGGGGCCATTTGAGGAGGGGGAGCATGGATTTGAATGCAGCTGGAATCCGGGTAGAGAAACTGATGGATGGCTGAGAGGGACATACATAGAAAGTTTCTAATGTCCTCAAGGGTTTCTCGGGGGGATTTGGGTGGGGAGGTTTAGGAAACGAAGGATCTTTTATGGGGAGGTGAAGAGGAGATCAGTATCTGAGGATTTGAGGGTGTAGGTGTGGGATGGGATCTGGTAGGAGATGGGGTGGGGCCTTTGGGTTGTCTGATGTGACAAGTAAGGTGTGAAGTAGGAAGAGACACAAGGGAAGTTTTGGATATTGGAATGTCTGGATTTAGGATGGAAAAAGGATTTGACTGGGAGACAGGGGTATTAGATGTATAGACCACTTGAGAAGAGTGGATGGGTGTGGACTGAAGTATTGTTATAAGTAGTGTTTGAAAAACCTTTTCGTGATTCTTGTCTGGCCTCTCGTAAAATGAGGCTTAGTTTGAATCTGAGAACTGTTACTTGGCAATATTGATGTTGGACTTCCGATTGCCTCTGGGGGGAATAGAGTAGCATTGTACTGATAGAGCATCGTATTCAATGAGGCAACCAAGCAATGATTTAAAAAGGAATACCGTGCCTTTGGCTCCCGTTCATGACTGGCACAAGGTCAGCCTTTCATCCTTCCAACACGACTCTTACACCTTAGGAATGGGATAGAAGGGTTGGGGAAGATATGAAAAAGAAAGAAGAAAGACCGAGCAAATTAGTTGAGGCAAGGGCTGAGGTCCAAGACAGGGCATAGTGATGTTATAAACCTCACAGTACATACGTCGGTTCCATAATTTCAGAAAAAAATGTTTTTCCAACTAAAATAACTCGAGAGGAGCTCCTTCAAAATCAAAACAAAGACCCACAATGCATTGCGTTAC